GACAGTGTTTGAATTAACACACCAAAGTCAATAAACTTTGAAATCCTACTATTGGCAGTTAGCAAATTGTAACCAAACAGGTAACATCAGAGTTGATTTTGTTAAATGAATTGATGAAGGCAGAATTCCTGAGGGATAGACATTACATTTTATCCAGAGCCTCGTCAGGAATGGGCAGACTAATGAAATTCTCTTCTCTGCTGTTCATGACCAGTTGAACCTTTTACCTCGTTGCAGTTGTATACATGAGGGGAATGAATACCATTTGAGCACTTCTTGTGTTTAAACTGTTTAACAAGTGCAGTATTGTAAATGGTAACACACACTCAGGTATTGCTCTGGTCTGTTAGCGGTGTTGTCTCAGGTTGCTTTGGTTGCTGAAGCTGTTGATGCAGTGCTGAAGGTTTGTTATTGGAAATGAGGCTGTGAGGAGGTAGAACAGGCCACACTAAAGCAGTGCTGCAACCCCCGATAATGTGTCCCTTAAATCCAAAAGGGTTGGTGTTTTAATTTCATGTTGGACAGTTTTGTACGGTGCACAGATAACACTGGGCTTTCAAGAAAGTGCGTTGTCAAAACAAACATGGCAGAAATGACATAAATGTCAATGGATTAGATACCCACGGTGCATGCCTAACATGCCATTTTCTGTCACTATATTCTCAGAATAGCATGTGTACATGTCACACAGTTACAATATGCAAGTCATCATGATCATATTGATTTTGGTAGAACTAAAATGAACATAATCAAATAAACAAAAAAAAAAAAAAAAAAAAAAAAAAAAAAAAAAAAAAAAAAAAAAAAAAAAAAAAAAAAAAAAAAAAAAAAAAAAAAAAAAAAAAAAAAAAAAAAAAAAAAAAAAACAAGCAAAACATCCCACACAATATCCAAAATCAAAATATCCCTGTTCATTTTGGACAGGAAACCTCTGGGAATCGGATTGAAAATGCTGTTGTGGCTAAAACACAAAAACAGTGTTTTTAAATTGAATTGTATTACTGTGTACTGCGCCTTAGAGTCCATGTTCAATCAGATATGCCAAGAATGTTGCATTGCCTGTCTGAACATAGCTATGGAGTCCCTTGTATAAGAGGTTATTCATTTGATATAGCTAAAATACAAGGAGTGACATAAATTAGAATTAAATCAATTTTTTGTTTGGAGGAATCCAGACTTGTTAAGTGCTGGAACACTTGTATTGAACAAAATGGAGATTATGTACTCTCTTTCACTGTGACTAACATATACAGAAGCCACGTCTCCTCTGTGTTTGTGACTGACACACAGAGGCCACGCCTCCTTCACTGGTACTGACAGACACAGAGGCCACGCCTCCTTCACTGGTACTGACAGACACAGAGGCCACGCCTCCTTCACTGTGACTGACAGACACAGAGGCCACGCCTCCTTCACTGGTACTGACAGACACAGAGGCCACGCCTCCTTCACTGGTACTGACACACAGAGGTCACGCCTCCTTCACTGGTACTGACAGACACAGAGGCCACGCCTCCTTCACAGTGACTGACACACAGAGGTCACGCCTCCTTCACTGGTACTGACAGACACAGAGGCCACGCCTCCTTCACAGTGACTGACACACAGAGGCCACGCCTCCTTCACTGGTACTGACAGACACAGAGGCCACGCCTCCTTCACTGGTACTGACACACAGAGGTCACGCCTCCTTCACTGGTACTGACAGACACAGAGGCCACGCCTCCTTCACAGTGACTGACACACAGAGGTCACGCCTCCTTCACTGGTACTGACAGACACAGAGGCCACACCTCCTTCACAGTGATTGACAGACACAGATGCCATGCCTCCTTCACAGTGACTGACATGTACAGAGGCCACGCCTCCTTCACTGGGACTGACAGACATGGAGGCCACTCATTTTTCACTGATGTTACTTTGTGTTTAACAATGTTTCTTTGCAAATGTGTATTTGATATCAGAGTAAGTGTCAGTATTCTGTGTTGTAGCAGTATATCATGGATTGTGTAGTGTCCTGCCCTGTGCGTGTGTGCGCGCACGTGTGTGTGCATATCTGAGGTCATGTCAGGGTTTCATTATTAATCAACACCCACCACTTTTTTTTTTTTTTTATCCTTGTGGCTCTATGTCTCATTGATACAGTGTGTGTAACATGGCACACAGTGTACAGACTGAGTGTGTTGATTTTATTGAACTCACTAACCCCATGCTACATCACACACAGTTCTATCTGAATATGCCCTTAAGGACTGGTCACACACCGCAGCGTTGCAGCTAGCATGTCCTTGCTAAAGAGAAGGAATCAGAAGAGTAAGGTTAATTAAATATAGTTAATCTATTGGCTGACGCAGCAAATAAGGCAAATGTATATGTGACAGTCAGCTCCAGAACTATTGGCACCCTCTGTAAAGAGGGGTTAAAAATAGGTTATGGGATTATTGGCTTAATCTCACACTGAAAATATGAGAGAAGTCTTAATTTTAATTAAACTAAATTTATTCCACGAAAATTATCATGAAATTTGCTGGAGTTGCCCTTGAAGTACTATTTTGGTGTCCAACATCTCATGTGAGAATTCACAAGACCAAATTGGGGGAAATTGGGTTTTAAAAAATGGTCTTGAAGTTGGACCATCATCCGCAGTGAAACAGGGTTATGAATAACGATATTGATCAGTGTGATCGATGAGTGTCCACAGGCTTGAATGTATTGAACCCACTCAGTTTGACCCAGTTAGACATCACTCTGGAACCAAGGACGATTTAACCATAGGACCGATTGGGCCATTACTCACAGATCCTTAAGGTTTTTTTTCCCCCCTCCAAATTTTTTAAATAAAAGATCGATAGATTTCACGTGAACAATTTATGATTTTCAAACCAATGAGCATAACCGGTGTGCACTTAATCATTAAAAAAAAACCTCTATCTCGTAGAGTTTTTCTGGTGATGACACCTAGACCAGTCAGGCGACACAGACGCTCATCTACGAATCTAATCTTTAGCTAAGGATACATTTGTGTGATGCCTGGCAAATCTGAAAATGCAGTGGGTGTTGAATTGCCGAGCTGCTAAGAGAAAGCAAAAAAAGAGAAAGAAATGCGAGAGATAGTTTACTTCAGTAGATGATAGTGGAGACCCAAGTGCTCTGAATAACATTACTGTAATATGATCTATACCAAGGATACTAGTGAGCCTGCTGCCGATGCCAGCATCACCAGCGTTAACAGTTCTGCTTGCACTGAAGGTGAGTTAGTGAATGCTAGCTAGCTAGTCATGACTAGCTACAGACTCTCTCTTTCCCCAGAGCCTCTACAGGTTGCGTTTTGTTGCGTTTCTGCAGACAGACTCCCATTTTTTTCATATCTTGCAGCTTGGGTGTGAGGACAATCTGGCTGCGACATCTGTCACCCCATTGATCGCTAGGGTTGGGTCAGCTGATCTGGTTAGGCAGGCGTCCCCTTCCTCCCTCACCACTCCATGTGTGTCCGTTCCGAAGCTCTGCGCTCGGTGGATGGACGGGTTCCTAGACGGATGAGCATCGTTGGTGACCTACCTCTTAAATTGATCAAATTTGGAAAAGAAATTTGGATTGTTAATTTCTGGCCCTTAGTCACGCTCCCTCAACAAACCATGACATTTTTGCCCAATGCATAGAAAAGATCTGGGCCGAATGCTTAGCATCAGAGATTTCTGTTCTGGCGTTATACCTGCTAAGTAGTTACATCGCACAAGCATTATTAATATAAATATAATTCGCTTTTATTGAATGACTTGCTACTGTTAAGCTTGAACACATAGCTCTGCCTTGTTCACTTAAATTAGCACTTTAAAACAAAAAAAAAAAGTGTGTATGCTTTTCTTACTATATGACCTCCCCCAACAGAGTTTTTAGACCGATGGTATTCTGATGGTATAAGATGGTATTCTTAGTCTGTGACCTAGTGAACCAGCATTAGGGTGTGTTTACTGATCGAGACTTCAGAGCACTTCTGTAAGTCGCTCTGCATAACGGCGTCTGCTAAATGCCATAAATGTATATGTAGCTAGCGACTGTCAGTTAATCTTGTACACTGGCAATACATTTTGCATCTGAAATTTTTACTTAGCTAATCACTCATGTAGCTCAGTTTTTCGAGTCAGTCTCTAAAAGTTCCTAATTGCCTACAAATGTTCCCAGTCATCCAGGCACAGAAGATTTCTTTGGGATAATATACAAACTTTCTATAACTCTATAACTATTTAATCCTGGCGTGGAAGAGGGTGTGGCTTCCATGGTGTATCGGCTCATGAGCTTTTTAACCTGTACTTGACTGTAACATAAGTTGAACTGAAAGAATATAGGAATAATTGTTCAAATAATTCAAATGTCCCAGTAGGAGAAATGAAGCTCACTTGATTATGCCTGTCTTCCCCTTAATAACCCTGCCAATCATGTCCAGTACCATTCCACCAGTGTTACAGGACTAATTGGGTACAGTTCAGCTAGAGACTGGTGCTTTCGGTGTTTCATCTAGTGTTCCAATAATCACACAGGCTTTTTGTGGGATTGAGGTCTGGTGATTTTGCAGGATTGGTGAGAAGGTTACGCACTATTAATGCTATAAATTTATAAGTTATTTATAAATTGTATTTGTCTGTGGGAACAACCTACTGACATTGTACAGTAAGGTACTGCTACTTGTCCAGGAAGCTTATTTACTGTTGTTCGAACAGAAAATTCTATTTTTTTTGAAGTGAAGTGACTTGTGGCCAAATATGGTGGCCCATACTCGGAATTTGTGCTCTGCATTTAACCCATCCAAGTGTGCGCGCACACACACACACACACACACACACACACACACACACACACACCCGGAGCAGTGGGCAGCCTTATTTGCTGCGGTGCCCGGGGAGCAGTTGGGGGTTCAGTGCCTTGCTCAAGGGTCTCACCTCAGTCGTGGTATTGAGGGTGGAAGAGAGCGCTGGTCATTCACTCCCCCCACCTACAATCCCTGCCGGCCTGCGACTCGAACCCGTGACCTTCGGGTTACAGGTCCGACTCTCTAACCATTAAGCCCAGTGGTCTTATGCACAATCATAATGTGGCAGGAACAGGACACAGAAGCACGCTGTCCCCTGGGGCTTTTTTTCATCTGATGGTCTGGGGATCCTTGTAATGATTTCTGGCATCAATAATTCTGTAAGACATTTGCTTCTGCTGGGAGGTTAAGATAGAGGAAGAGGTAATAGATGTAGGCTGCAGTATGATTTCCATATGAATACGTATGTGAATACAAAATCATGTTTTGCGATGGCTCTAGATTTGAACCCTACTGAAAATGGTCCACCTGTGCAAACCTAAGACTATAAATGGGCTTGAGATGTTTTGCATGGAGGAGTGGATAAGATTCCTCTACAAGTGTCTCCAACCTTGTTAGACCTTGTCATTAGAGGAAATGACTCAGAGCTGTTATTCTGTTCAGGAGACACTTCACCAGGCATTAATTGTGAGGGTGCTGAGAATTTAAAAACAAAGTGTTTTGAAGACAAATTGTACTACTAAATAAAACCTTTAGGACATCATCAGAGTGCAGACTTGATAGAGGACTGCATTTGGGATGGGGCTAAAAAGCAAAGGGAAAGGTAGAGAAAACAAAAACAAACAGATAATGGACAGAACTAACTTCAGCCTGAGAAGAATAATGTGGTCATGTCTGATGATTGCTGTAGTGATGGATGAGGTGAGAATGAGTTCAGTGCTGGATCTGTAGGATTATGGTCGAACCGGTGGGAGACACTGAAGTTCCACGGCTGTTGTAGGAAAAAAAAAACATGTTAATGATGGCAGTGTCTTCCATTTGAGATCAGAGATGTGTCTACCAAATTTAAGTGTGTGTGTGGTGTTTGTGTTTCAGATGCTCCATCTACAGAGCAGCAGGAGCTGTTTGTGCAGAAGCTCCAGCAGTGTTGTGTGCTCTTTGACTTCTTCGACTCGGTCACTGATCTGAAGAGTAAAGAGGTGAAGAGGGCCACTCTCAACGAACTGGTGGAATATGTGTCTACCAGCAGGGGCGTACTGGTGGAGTCCGCCTACCCTGACATCATTAACATGGTCAGCACACCTCCTTTTTTTGTTGCTCATGCCGCGATTAAACTGCCACGTTTATACAACAGAGAGATGTGTACATTAAATTTTTTTTTCTCCAAGAAAACAGCATTTGGGGTGTATGTGTCTGACTCTTTGACTTATTGTAGTCAGACAATAGAGTCGTTCTTACAAATTAGTCCACATCTGATAAAAGAATATAAAACGGGTGTGAATTAGTTAGCTAATTACTGAATACAACACTGAGGACAAATGTGCATGTGTTGAAGTTTGGAATTGACTCAGTATCGTAGTCTCTTGGGGTGCAGGTAGTACAAGTTTTGTTTTGTTTTGTTTTTTTGGGTTTTTTTCCCCACAACAGTTGCTTTGTGTAGCATGAAGAGTGCCACAAATTTGAAAAGTTAATTTGTAAAATAATTTTTTTTTAAATTGGTAAGTGTAATTCAGTTCAAAGAGAAATAAACAGCCATTTACTTATTCATAAAATAATGTGATATAAATATGGTTAATTCACACTGAAAATTGTTGAATTTTTCCATTTCCTTTTGCCTTAAAAGTGAATAAGAAAAGAAACTGGAAAATAATAATAATAAAAGAATAAAATAATAAGTGAATAAAAAAATGTAAAATAATAGTTAGTAAAGTAATATTATAATACTTTACTCTGCATATTAACAGGATTAATATTTAATTAATGTATAATTTAGCATATTAATTTTTATTTATTTACATTAATTATTTAACTAATTACTTGTATAATTAGTTAATTATATAATATAGTATAATATTATATTATATTATATTATATATTATATTATATTATATTATATTATATTATATACATTAGTTAATTATTAATTTATAATTATTTTACTAATTATTTTTTCTTTTTTATTTTCAGATTGTAGTATTATTCACTTTTTTAATTCAGTAGCATTAGTTATGGCATTATATATATACAGTCAGGTCCGGAAGTGTTTGGACAATGATGGGTTTTTTTTGTGATTTTTGCCTTTATACATGATCACAATGGATTTGAAATAAAATAATCAAGATGTGATCGAAGTGTAGACTTTCAGTTTTATTTTAATGGGTTCCACAAAAACACAGCATTTGCCATTTAGGGATTACAGCCTTCTGAAGCAAAGTACCTCCATTTTCAGGGGCTCAAAGGTATTTGGACAAAGTGATATAATTGTAAATATAACCATAATTTTAATACTTGGTTGAAAATCCTTTGCAGTCAATGACTGCCTGAAGTCTGGAGCCCATGTTCTCAAAACTCAAATTCTGAGTTTCCTCCCTGGAGATGCTTTGCCAGGCTTCACTGCAGCCACCTTCAGTTGCTGGTTGTTTGTGGGTCTTTCTGCCTTCAGTCTTGTCTTCAGTAAGTGAAAAGCAGCTCTATTGGGTTGAGATCAGGCGACTGACTTGGCCATTGAAGAATATTCCATTTCTTTGCCTTCAAAAAGTCTTGAGTTGCTTTCACAGTATGTTTAGGGTCATTATCCACCTGCTCTGTGAAGCGGCATCCTATCAGTTTTGTAGC